TAAATTCCTCTCTAGTGGTGATCCACATGATAGACATGATGATGATGCACCTCCTTATGTAATACGTTCTTTTCTCATGATCGTGCACCACCACGTAGTAGCACACAAGAGGGGATCGATCCCTTTTGCTATCTTCTCGCACCAAAGAGGGGGCAATCAGCTGGAGGAAGAAGGGGGGAGGAGACAAGGAGGGTGGCAGCTAAATGAGTCTAGCCTATGACCCTATTAGTCCCAACTCCTATTTATAGAGAGTCTCTTTTAACTAACCCTGATGAATCTTTCTTATTGGGTATTGGATCTCCATCAAATTACCCATGGCTTAATGTATATTGGATCCCCATCCAAGAACCATTCTAAACTCTATTGGATCTCTCCTAAGGATCCAATAAAATAGGGGCTTATCAATATCACATATCTAATCATATACTCGTCGTAATGTCCATCATATATGTGTGACCCTCTAGGCTTAATACCGAGCTAGTCGTGAGATACATCTATCAAAACTTTTTTTGACTTAGTGAATTATTATCCCCATAATAATTCACTCAACTCATCAACTATGGACGTACTAGGTTACTATGTCATAGTCCTTATACGGTATAGGATGATATAATCCATCGAACCTATCTATTATCAATTACCATGTATCTATAGCCTCTCATCTATCTAATATCTCAGAGATTGTATATCAAGTATGGTGTTGTCATGCCTATACAAAATCTATCCGAAACTTACTCTAATTAGATTCTCTTAGAGAACTATTTCAATCAAAAATCTTATGCTTATCGGATTCATTATGATTCGACTAACTTTAGCTAGAGATTTGCCTAAGTGAGAATGCATAAGATACGCATCTCTTGACACCGAGAGTAGAAGATCCTCTATTGACACCAAATTACCTTTGTAAGGTTGGCTATTGTTCCCAACAACTGTCTATACTAGATCTAAAACTTTTAGACCTATTAGTCTAATATCAAATAATGGAATACTCAAACAATACATCCTTTGTGTCTTAAGTCTAAGGACCATATACACAATTGAGACTACGAAATCACTATCTGACAATAAGATATTATTAACCATCTAGCGTTCCGTAAGCGGAAAATTCAGTGAACTCATTCTCCAATGAACACCTACACTATATCCCTAGTGATATCACACAAATAGATATGAGATTAGTTACTTCCATTATATGGACGGGTATAAAGCACACTGGTTTGTCCAGTTACCTCAGTGCCCTTCTCGAATAATCTATGATCAAAAATATTTATGATTTGTGTTTAAAGGCGAATTGTTCTCATTATCATGATCTAATTCCTATTGTACAAATCTAAGGATATCACAATACATATATTCATCCAATATAAAGTGAAAAATATCATAATAAATATTAATCAAAAGAGATTATGTAATGTATCACACGTTTCATCACTTATATGATTGACTTATAGGATACCTGTAACTAGTAATATAGTCGACACATCTAGCTCACATGGCTGACTAAATGACCATGATGGTTGGCACTTAGTGTACCATATGGAGGATGCATCAACTAGCGACCTAGTGCCAACTAAACTCGAAACAATCAGTTGGTTGATAAGGCTAATTGGCAATCCCTGATGAGCACCATGTGGAGACCGTAATTCAATCTCGGGTTTGATGCTAGGTGGCAATGACTTTGATCGAATTATACATCCATTATTATCACACTAATTTGCATAATAAATAATCATGATAGTTCTAAGTGACTACTATAAGAAAGAATCTCATAATCTTGAGGTGCAAATATTGACTCTCTCAAGTTATTCAATTAGTCATTAATTTAAGTTTTAGATGTACATATATCGGGAGTACCCCCGTTCAGTTTTGTAGCATTACTACTCATCCAAAAAGATAAAATTTTCATAAGATCGACTCAAAGTGGAATCAAGTTAGATCCAACTTAGCTTTGAAATCAGGCAATCAGAATCTATTATAGCTTCTTATTTTTTAATAAAAAATTTCGTGCACGTCTACATTCTTAGTCTTGTAAGTAATATTTGCGAATGAGGAATTATTTTGAGGAATAATTCAATTCTTTGGGAGATTTACATTAGTTTTGCAGACGAGGTTGACTTTATGACGTGGATAGACGACCCATCCAACGTAATCTCAGAAAAAGGAAAAAGAAAACTTGGAGCAAAACCTATGCCTGCGGTTGTGTGAATGTCTCAAAATTCACACGTAACACTAAATTATATTTAATAAACATGATTTAACTTGGAATATCTTTTGACTTGTCAACTTATTAGATTCAGCCTATTCTTGCGTGTTGTGTGTTAAAAGCTGCTCTGCCGTCGCATTGTATTGAATGGGGAAATTGTATCGAGGAGCAGACGATGAACACGTCGTCGACGAACAGTGACGGTTTCGATTCAATATGACGACGGCGACGCGACGTCAGATATGACGACGGCTGTAACAGCACGCGACTCGCTTCACGTTTCTTACGGCCTCCAGTTTTATGTCAGCCGTTCGAAGCGACTCGATGATGTGGCAGTAGGTTTGTTTTTAAAAACCGTTGCCAGCTTCGAATTTTTGTTTTTATTTTTTCTTTTACGGCAAACACTTCATTGAACTAACAAACGATCAACTAATTTTATATATAAGTCCAATGACATTTCAAAAATATAATTTTAAGATAATTATATGAATTAACTAACTTTAATCAAATTATCTCATTAAATGGCATCATTAGGACACTTTCATTATTAATTAACAACCATTTCTATGAAAAATCATGATTAAATTTATTTGTTCTTGAGTGATAAGAAATATAAAATCAATGAAATATTTACAAAAATATTCTCGAGAGTCTAACATATGGTTGAAGTTATTTAAAAATTATCTTTTTTTTGAAATATTCATAGGAATATTCTAAAAAAATTATAAATAACTCGGATCAATTATAAATCATTTTTCTTACCAAATATATAAAAAATATTTCAACTCTTCAAAATCAAGTATAAAGATATACCATACCTCTACATGAAACCGGAGCATAAATTATAAATTTAGATATAAAGAAATTGATCTGAGGATTAATTTAAACATCGAAGGGATCTGATTCGGGGAAACCTCTTCCGACTTCAATTTTTGTACAGGTAATAAATTCAAAAGAAAATATTTTCTACTTTAAACAACATCGTGTTAATAAGGATGTCAATATATTTTTTTAAAAATTCAATCTTTTCTCACTCTATTATCTTTATATAATTAGATGCATAGGCATTGTGCAGATTTCAAATGCACGATTCTAATCACCCACTTAAAGCTGGATCGTGACTTAAAACTGTAACTCGAATCGTGACTTAATGACCATAATATTAAAGCCTAAGAAGATGGAAGCGATTGCCTGTTCGAATCAAAACACACAATTCTAACATGATTTGTTTAAATAATCATTCACTCTGACCCTGAGAGTAGCAAGCACTTTTTTTTTAATTTCTTAATTAAAAAAGTATAGTTTGGATAATAAAATTATTTAAATTTAGAAAAACTATTTTTTAAGAAGAATTCATGTTTGAGTAATTGCATTCAAAAAGATCGAGGAGAACAAAATTATTTTTTCATGTATGTTTTGTTATTATTTTTTATGATTGTCTTGATGGGAGACACACCCGAAAACATGTACATTAAAGTAGGGTCGAGGGCGGTTAACATGGCGACAAAAAAGTCCGCAAAGACTGCTGTGTCACCCTCTCTCTCACTCCCCTCCTTAATGCTCGACCTCAACCCATCCTTTTTGGTTTTTCTGAATTAAACCCATCCATATATTATTTCCTTTTTATTTCCTTGATCACACCCTCACCCACACAATTACCAGTTTGAAACACCAACCTAGGACCCACCCCCCCGACCCCCTCTCCCTCTACCCGGGCCCACCCACTGGTCAACAACAAAAAAAGCATGAAGAATATATGAGAAATTTGAAAATTATATAGATAGTAAAATCTGAATAGTTAATACATAAAATTAAAAATTTAGATCTCTTTAGATTCGTTTATTATTGAAATTATTCATAAATATTAATTTAGCCATGACATACCAAATTAATTTATCAAAAAGCTGAGGACTCAAAATCTCATTTAAATATATTTATAAAAAAATATTAATTAATTTAGTTGATAAAATTTTGATAGTTTGTTATATATAAGATACCGAGTTCAAATCTTATTTTCATCATTTATCTTTTATAAAAAATATTTATAATTAATTATTAAAAATAAATTAAAAATAATTTATTATTTTTCTTAGGACATCTCAAATTAGTTTGATTTGAACCAAATATAGTCTATTTTTATGGTTTGGTTTAAGTCAAATTGCCTTTTTTTTTTAATTATATTTCATCGTATTTAGTGAGATGGAAAACTAAAAAATAAAAAAATAATACCCCTTTTCGAAACAAAATTTGGTCCAGAATAAAAGTACCCCTTAGGATCAGAATTAAACTTATGTGAGACCCATCTGATAATTTCTTGGACCTCGCATATGTGGAACACGTCGAAGTCGTTTCCTGCAAATGTCGAAGAAGCAGTCTCAACACCAACTATACAGAACGTCGTACCGCGTCACCGACACGTAGGCCAACGCATCAGGTTCTTTTGCTGGGTACATGTTTTCGCGTGCGTAAGAGATGAGATGATCTTATGCATACAGCTCCACGTCCCTGCTCACGCTCCCTCCGTCATCTTCCATTGGAGGTACCACAAAAAGCACTTCTCTTCTCCGCTTTACCTCTCTCTCTCTCTCTCTCTCTCTCTCTCTCTCGAAGAGTCTTGCTTTCTTTCGCTTCGCCGCCCGAACATCCGCAAAGCTACGACAGATTTCCTTGACTGCAGCAGCGGCTGCTGCCCCGCGAAAAAGCGGAGCGCACTCCATCAGTCATGTAAAGCCCCCATATATCCCTATATATATACACATCAAATGTATTCGTCAAATAATACTGCTACTACTGAGAGCAAAGCAAAACCCAAACCCTCTCTCTCTCTCTCTGCCCTTCATAAACGGCCACGCCCTCATCCCATTTCATTCTCCGCGAGTTCTGTCGGTCCACAAACGGACCTCCTCAAGCAACCCGAGCAAATAGATTTGATCCGACTATACCCGTTTGATATGTTAAGAGTTACTCTGCAGAGCGAGGGGGAAGAGAGAGGATTAGAGACGGGCCACAACTGGATCTCCTACGGGCTGCCACCGATGGAGATGCTTCTTCGCCCCTGCGGATTCGATCTGCAGGCCTCCTCCGATAACGACTGCGCCGTCGCCTACAACTACCAGTACTTCCTCCCTCCGCCTCCCGCGCCTGCGTCTACGGAGCTGAAGCTGGAGGATCTCCTCGGCGGGGACAGCGGCGCGCATTGCTCTGAGACCCTGACCGTCGACGGCCAGGACACGTCGTCCGTCAGCACCGTCCTCATCCAGGATCTCCGCGCGGTCGACGACTCCTCGTCGGCGCCATCTACGGGGCTGGAGAATACGCTGGTGCCGCCGCCGCAGCCGCCGGCAGCTGGTCACAGGACGTCGGTGTACAGAGGAGTGACCAGGTGACACTTCGCGTCATACTTAGTTAATTACACAGATGGGTTGTAGGAGTCACTTCATCGTTAGTTGATCGCACGCTTAGGGTTTTTTGAGGGAAGAAAACTGTTCACAGTTCACGTGTAATCGGCGCACGCGTGCATGCGTGCTTGTGTCTCTTGTTTCCCGCAGGCACAGGTGGACCGGAAGGTATGAGGCGCACTTGTGGGATAACACGTGCAAGAGGGAGGGCCAGAAGCGCAAGGGGCGCCAAGGTATACCTGCCGCCTTTCTTCCCTCGACTCCTCCTCCTCCACATATATGTGTGCGCATTCCCTTCCCCCTCGAAGCCAAAATACTAGCTGCTGCAATGCTCCGCCGCATGCATGTTTCAGATTTAATCTTCTAAGACCAAATGGATTGTTCTCGCATGCCATCATTACTTCCAGCTAGATTGGGATGCAGATCATGTAAGCTTGTGAGGGTGTGCTACTACGTTGCAGTCGTAGCTTGTAATGGCCTGAAGCAGAGACAGGTGATGGACAAGGGCATCATTGATGGCAAATGCTGCAGGTACCGCCATGGCGGTACGGCTGCTGCGATCACTGGCTTGCATTTTGTCCGTGAGATGCCGCCGCTTCCACGGTCTGAGCCAGTCAAGGCCTGGCATGTCACCTTGTCGCCGTGCCATGTACAGGGAGACGTACACGCAGGTCACCTGTGCATGTGTATGTACCGATGAGAAAAGCGTCCGTCAAAGCTCGCATCATGGACGCCTTGAAAAGTTGGGTTTGGGAGGCGAGAGGTAGAGAGCGTATTTGAGCGAGTGAGATTGATGTGACGACACATTGCTCTTTTATCTGCGGGGAAAAGAACGGGGTCGCGTCCTTTCACTGACGGAAAAGAGTACACTGACTGCCCTTTTCAGTGGGGGGTGGGGACTTTGCTGCATGTCGACAGCTCCTGCCTCAGTATCTTTGACTGGAGCTGAAGCCCACCGAAGTTCCCCATGAGTCACTTCACTAGATCATGAACACCAGCGGTGGTTCTGCTCTCTGTCACAGTGACTGGGATTCAGATGCATCTGATCACCCACCAGTCATTCTACTCTCACACTCCTTTCAATCACATTAACCTTTAGTGTGATGCATATCTGTACTACGTCATATAGTGCTCCTAGTTTTGCTTGGCCGTCATATGAGCGCCAGTCCCCAAAATGCCTAAAGATCATATAACATCTGATAATAATATAATATGTTGATTTAAGATATCATCCTCATGCAAGCTTTAGTCTAAAATATAGTTCTTACTATTTCCATGTTCCATCTGTTTCTAAGACAAAATCTGAGTGCTAGTATCTTCATGCCACTTGATGGTTTTAGATGCGGGCAATGTTTATTGTTTTTCTGGAAAGTACATGATGAAGACCTGCAAAAAAATGCTTTTGGCTGTAACCGATATTTTTCTGACACAATTTCCATCCTTTTTTGCATGGGGATGTGATCAATTGGTGATGTTTGTGGCTAATCTCCAGTGTATTTGGGTGAGATATCCTTGCTTTCTTGAGTTGTGTTTACGGTCTTTGGATATGAATTAGAATACTGATCTAACTTCAATGTGACACAGGTGGATACGACAGAGAAGAAAAAGCAGCAAGGGCTTATGATCTTGCAGCTTTAAAGTATTGGGGTCCTACTGCTACAACCAACTTCCCGGTAATGTTTCCACTGAGAATTCATCCTTGTTTACGCTGTTAATATTTCCCTAATTAAACATAACAATATATTAGAATGTTTATGTTCATTCTCTTTGATCCATATCCATTGTATGGTAACTTAATGCTGTGAACTGCATAATTTCTTTGTTTTATGTTGTCGAAGTATGGAATCCTCTTAAAGAACACTCAATTTAGATATTTTCCCTTATTCTTTTTATTCTTTTGCAGGTAAGCTGTTATAGTAGGGAGATTGAGGAGATGAAGTGCATGACTAAGCAAGAGTTTATTGCATCAATAAGAAGGTGAAGTCCCGAATTTTTTTGTGCTAGCTGCCTCTGTAACTGCATTGTCACATATTCTTATCTAGTTTCTATTTGGGTGTTGCAGAAAAAGCAGTGGATTCTCTAGGGGTGCTTCCATCTACAGAGGGGTGACAAGGCAAGAGATTCAATTCTTTGAAAACATTATTAGATTCTCATTGATGTCATGCAAAATTCCAAAGAGAACTGCTTCTAAGGCAATTTTTTTGTTGTGATTTATCAGGCATCATCAACATGGTCGGTGGCAGGCAAGGATAGGCCGTGTTGCAGGCAACAAGGATCTTTACCTCGGAACATTTGGTGCGGTTTTACTTCTTTTTATCGCCATCTCAATTCTTTCATTTCGGTCCTGAATTGGATGATGACACTAAACCGATCAAGATTCGTCGATAGCAACCGAGGAAGAAGCAGCCGAAGCATATGACGTAGCGGCGATCAAGTTTCGCGGTGCAAATGCTGTTACCAACTTTGAGCTCAGCAGATATGATGTGGAAGCTATCGCAAACACCGAGCTACCGATCGGAGCATCAGCTAAACGAATCAAACAGTCCCTCCAATCTGACCAAGATCAGCTCCCTCTTGACAAATCGGACAAAGGACAGCATCTCAACTTTGTGCCAGCAACTCTCTTCCACAACCTTATGCAGTTTCATGGTCCTTCTGGCTTCTCGCCTTGTCTGTCCTACTGCAGTTTCATAGAGAATGACTTCGATGAATGCGATCAAAACAATTATCTCTTGGCGGCCAAAGATCAACACAAAAACCAATATCACAATCAGCAAGATTTGGGGAGTGGCATCCTCCAATTGACACACCTTCCATCTCAGTGATTGTAGTCTTTGTGGATGTGTGATATATCTGACCTGCTAAGCTCACTGATCTTTTTGACATTGGACAAAATCCATGCTATTTTGTGTAGATCAAGTGATATTATCATGAATGGAACATGGATCTACTTTTAACTGAATGATGTGTGTACATGCAACCTTCTCCAAGTACTGATTGTGTTTACTGTGAGAGTTGTGATCCACCTTACTGGGGTTTTATCTATCAGGGGACTTGTGATGGTTCATCTGTGAGAATCTATTATATATGAGAAATTTGACTTGTGATGGTTCATTTGTGAGAATCTATTATATATGAGAAATTTGAATATATTATATATGTATTTTAATGAATATGACTTGAATATCTGAACCCTCGATAGGATGCATTACAATATCTGGAATATGAATATGGAGACACATAAATAATACATGTTTATTGAATAGCCTAAATAGCTAAAAGCATTTTTTTTACCATTGATTTCAAGCAATTTATTGTGAAAGAACATTCTCATTTAATGTTTCTTTCTCTCAAAGCTTCTCATATTTGTTAACATACCTAAATAGTGTTCTAAAAAGTGGATGGAAAGCGAGTTTTTATGCTAAAGTGAGTTATTATTATTATTGGATTTTTGCTTTTCTCAAGGTTCCATTTTTTTTTTTTTCTGAGGTTGCCCTTGCTTTTTAAAATCTTAATATTACATCTCTTTTATTTTTTTCTTTACTCTCTAGTTTGGTTCGTTTCAATAAGTTAAGAACCGAATTGATCCAACCAATTAAGCCGAACCAAATTAATAATTAAAACAAAATAACAATAAAAAAATAAAATGTTAAATTTATTGAAAATTATAGAAGTTAGAACAATATTTATTTAGGTCTTTATCTTTTGTTCAGTATATTTAAATATTAATAATAAATTAAAGATTTATAAAATAACAAAAATTTAAAAATATACTGTAACATTAGTTAAAAGTATAGATATCGGAAATTTATGTAGATATATGTGTATATATATATATATTTATTTATGATAAAATTCGAATTTTATTTCATAAGATTGTTTTAAATAAAATTTTAAAATTATTTGAATTTGAATCTATATGAAATTTGTTGAACCAAACCAAAAGAGAAAAAAAGGAAGTTCAATATAAAATTGAAAAGTCGAAAAAAGAGAATTCTGATAAATAGGACTGCTCTTCGAGAAGGGAAACCACCTATTCTGGTAAAAGGCTCCAAAAGGCGGAGCCTTTTTAACCGTAGTGTTGGACTGTAGAAGCGGCGTTCCAGAGTGGCGCGGCTTGTCACCGGCGTGAAGGCGGCGCCCCAAGCACGTCTTCCTCCGCCGCTGCTCAACCGTCTCCCTGCTCCCAGATCGTATCACCAGCCACCTCATGACGGTACGGCGTCTGGTTTCACCATCTGTAGGTAGGTTTTGGGGCTTAATGCGTATAATGTTGATTCGTTATCGATGATTGCCTTTCGCCGGATGGAGGCTCACGTCGCCAAGCTGGAAGCCGATATCGGAGACTCGCAGAAGCTTTATTATAAAGAGAGAGGATTTCCAACAAAGGTATGGGTACACTGGTAATTTCATGTCGTCGATTTTTCGCAAACAAAAAGGGTCCGCTGGTTCCGTTGCTACCGGATGTTCGTCTCCAATCCAATGAATGCTCTGTTGGTGTCCGTCTCTCCTTCTCTCTCCCTCTCCTCGCCACCGCCTCTTCCTCGCCATGAACGGGTCCACGGAATCCCTAGATTCCGGATTCTATGTTCTCCAGCTGGTTCTCAGCAGGTTCGTTGGCCTTTGATTGATTCCATTTTGATTTAATGTCTTTTCTGATTCGTTGCGTTTCTTTGGGGGTCTCCAGATTGACATGCCCAGGTCCGAGTACAAGCCCGGCGCCTTTGATGCTCTGCTCCTTCAGTTTTTCAGGAAGAAAATGGTGCAGGTGAGCTCCTGTTCGAGCCTTTGAAATCGGATTCATGTATCACATTTGTACATGTTGCTCGAATCAGGGATTTGAATATCCAATCGTTTTGCTGTACGGTTGTAGAAATAATGGTTGAAACAAACGCATCTCTAAGATGTTTCTTTTTCCTCTTTAGGATGCTGGTGGATGATGCCATATAGAAACCTAAAATTAGTTCCGGAATTTTTGCTAGTTAAATCAGGAAATTGGTCCTTTCATTGCACCTATCATACCTAGTAATTGAAATGATCTTGAATGTGATATAGAACCTTTGAACTAAGTTGTTGATATGATATTGTTATTGATATAATAGAATTACCATGCTGAAAAACTATTTTCTTGTATTACAGTTCTGCTGCTAAATGTACTTTAGATCAAATCAATCTTAAGAGTGACGTTGTTTTGGTTATCAGAGAAAATCTAGAGACTTCAATGCTTCTTTTTTTTTTTTTTTCATTTTTGATTGAAGATTAAGGGAACTTATAGTTTCAGCTTATCTTTGAGCTTTAGAGTTTTCTTCCTAATGGATGTAAAGATTACATGAGCATTGTTAAAAGTGCTAGGGAGATGAGAATTTGCAATATGCTACACAAATCAACACTCCATTGGTTGGTATATAATATTTCCATCTCTCTAGCTGGTATGCCATTGTTTCCTTTTCTTTGCCTTTATATAATCTTGTAATTCTAAGAGGTCATGAAAATGATTTTTTTTTTCCTTGTGCTAGAATTCTTCTGACAATGTTTTGATTCTTAAAAAGCTATAGGAGGTTGGATGGGATTCAGAGAAGCCTGGGTATGTTGGACTTATTGAAGTTGCAAATCATCTTATGATTAAGGGAAAAAGCATCTCAGAGACTGAGCGATCAGCGGTATTCAGAGCAATCTCATGTGCACTTTATTTTTTTCTATACAACAACAATTTTATTCTGATTGACAATTCTTATTATCATGCAAAGATGTTATGGTACCATAACAATCACAATGAATGGCAGGTTCGGGTTCTTGTATCTTTGTTTCCCCCACTCTTGCTTGATCTGTTTAAGATGCTTATAGCACCAATTAATGGTGGGAAAGTAGCTTCCATGATGCTTGGTAAGTCGATGCTTATAGTTCTAATTCTTGTTTAGATATACTTTTGGTGCTGAGTGCAGTGATCATTCTTACCATCTGAAATATTTTCTCTTTCCAATTTCTTTTTTAAACAATTTGACTTTTTGTATTCTTAAGCAAGAGCAACAGCAATGTTGTGTCAATGGCTGATGGGCCCTTGTTCAGTTAATTCTGTTGATCTTGCTGATGGGTCCTCCTGCAGTAGTGGGGTAATCTCTGTATCCGAGAATTTTGCATTTAGCTATAAGTCTCAGTTCTTTGCTTTACTTGTGCAACTCCTGCGTTGATATTGGTCTAATTCCTTGTGAATATCTTCATTTAGGTCTTTGTGGAAAGATGCAAGTATCTTGAAGAAAGTAAATGTCTGGGAGTCTGTGTCAACACATGCAAACTACCAACACAGGTTTGGTGCCTTTGCAAAATATGATATGTAATTTCTGTCCATTATCTCTATGACCTCATCTATTTTATGTGAAGTTCTTCCATTTTCTATGTCCAACTAAAATTGGATTTTTCTCCTTGTATAATGAGTAGAAAGAAATCATGAAATGTGATCCCATCCAAACGTTTGTTCCCTGCACATCTTGCAATTCAAATAGGCTATAGCTGTATGACTTAGTAGTTTGAGATAATATATTACTTAAGACATGCCCGATAAATTAAATACACCTCTTGTATGATTGGAATAGCTAGGGGTCGTTACTCTGCTTGTTCCCTATATTTTTTTTGCTTTAAAGGTTATTCTGGGCCTTCACTAATTGCATTGATTTATTGGGTTACACGATCGTAGACAAAAGTTCACTAGGCTTCTATACTAGCATGGCATGTATCATATTTGTGTGAATCACTACATGGAAAATTAAATGACACAACAAAATGACATCAGAAGTGTTGGACGCACTTAGTTGTTTATCTTATTGTCTCTAAGTTGTTGCCAAAGTGCTTTTATTAAGATATTATATATTACCATTTACTGATAGCCAAGTAGAAGGAACTGGTGAGATAATTTTACGAAATATAACCTCCTAAGCCCTAGCTTCCAACCAATACGCATTTGAGTGTACTGTTTTTTGTGAAGCACCACTTGCAAGATGCTGAGATTTATACTATTATAAAAAGATTATGTTTTTATTTGTTAGGATGCTAATATAAGCGCCATGATATCCAGATAAGATTGTCACAGTTGGATCTCTTGTTGGATCTTTACGGGCGAGGACCTATAGAAAAATATTAGTAGTGTGCTTCAAGCCTTTAGTCACAGTTACTTTTGGTTCCTTAAGATTAGGTATAACTGTTAGAATCAAGAGCGGTACTAAGAGAGGGGGGTGAATTAGTGCAGCGAAAAAATTATCGATTTTGTAAGATATTCGTTCGTTGAAAACCAATTTCGGAAAGTACTTGACTTTAGAGTAAATGAACTAGCAGTTAACTTAGAAAATAATAGCAGTAGTAAAAAGCAGAATGAAAATGAGCACACTGGAATTTATAGTGGTTCGGTTGTTGTGACCTACATCCACTTCTGATTCCTTCTCCGTCGAGGTCACCAGCATCTACTAATGGTCTTCCTTCAATGGGCGAAGACCAACCACCCTCTTTACAGCGCTTTCTCCTTTTCACGGGTTTAGGAGATAACCCTTACAAGGCTCACACCTCTCTTGAACGATCACAACACTAAAAAGGGAGGAGGGCTTTTTGCACTTTTTACAATACTATCACCCCCCAAGACTTCAATATTTTGTTCACACTTTCGTGCCCTTTCATGCAGAAAATGGTGGGGTATTTATGGGCCTCAATGGCTTCAAAATTGGAGCAAAAAAGTGTCTAATCCTTGATTTTCAGGGTACTGGCGATACCACCGCCATTATTGGGCGGTACCATCGCTTAGTCTAGGCGGTACGATCGCCTGACAGAGCTCAGAGACCGAGCTCTGGCGATACCACTACCTAGCAGCATTAACTGCTGGCGGTACCACCGCCCAGACCACCTGGGAGATTGAGTCACCAGGCAGTGCCACTGTCGGCCGTGACTTCAGGTGCTGAATGGGCTGTTCAACCGGCCCAG